GGGTTCCCGGAGGATGAGGGTTCCTCGAAGGGAGGGGGTCTCCCCGGAGGGGGGAGGGTTCCCCGGAGGGAGGAGGGTTTCCCGACGGGAGGGGGAAGAGGGTTAGGGCACATGCCCCCAGTTGAGGGTAAACGGTTTGCCCGAACCGAGGCATCCTCAACCGAAAACGGACACCTTGCCCGGGGTGTCCACCCTCGGCTGAGGGCAGAAGTGTCCTCTTGAGGACACACACAAAAATTTCAGTGGATGATGTTGCAGAGTCTCAGACTCCGCACCTCCACCCGCTTCTGCTGAGCAGATGCGGACTGAAATGAGTGAGTGATGAGTTCGTTTATATACGATTCCCAAAGGTAATATTGAGCCTCAATTAATGATCAAATTGATCAACATTCCATCATCACCTCATCAAAATCTTAAACGTTCATTCGATCGACTAATCAAATCAATATCTCTGATCAGTTACATTTGATCTAACGTTTTGTAATATGCGCTCGAAATAAATATCTCTGAAACAGAATAAAAATATGAAATCAGATGAGGTTCGATGACTGTCATAGGAGTAGATTACGGTCAATGGAATGAGTATCGATAAAAATTCAGAATACACATTTCACGGAGAATTAAACTCTCTAGCAAACTTCATTCTTATCATAATTTGCAACTTATAAGAAACATCATAAAGACATCAATCATGCCAATGAAGTAAGCTTTGCCTCGAAACAAATACAAAATTTTCAATGTAGATTTCACCCGTCCCCCTCCATCTTCCGCTGAAAACTCTCACATAATTCTGAGTAATTTGTTGTTTTCTCGAAAAACATCGATTGCTGATTTCCGACAATCTTGGGTTTTTTTTTTNTTTTTTTTCAGAAAACTAAAATGCCTCAACTTCTTTAATGAATGAAACTAGAAACCCGAAATTTAATTGTAGATTTTATTGGTTCAAATTGCTCAATTGTAGTATAGAATTTATTTGCTGACATTACAGTATGCCTCAAATTTCTGCTGATTTGTAGTTGGGGATGGAATCTGGCATAGGCATGAATGCCTCGTTCGGCAACACTTCAAGATTGTGAGATTGGTAAACTGACGTGAAAATTCTACAGCTTGGCACAATATATCATCAAGCAAACGATTGCGATAATAGGGAAAATAACTGAGGGAATAACAGATGGACACATCAATGAAGAATACTTTCAATTGTGTGATTAAAAATTACAGGACTGTAACGTCAAGCATTGATATTGCTTTGGCTGGTTTTTTGAAGAACGGACGAATGCTACCTCCACTCTATCCAACCAACTATGGATTAGCATTTTATGTTTAATGCCAAAAAACATCTGAACACATTCAGCCATCCTAATGGATCAAGTAATCTGCCTCTACAGCTATCAAATCATGTTTTTTCACATGCTCTCTCTTGTGAATAGTGATGGGTGAAGCAGCACATGATTACTCTCAAGTAAATTTATCCATTCTGAGTGATGTGGCTCTCTGAGGCTATGCATGAAAGCAAAGAGGAGAACTGGAATGTTGCTTATGATGAGGTGTGTGCAGAGAACTATGCATGTTTTCTTTCGAAAGTAATAAAGCACACTTACAATTGAATGAAACACGCAGGCCGATGAATTACTCGAAACAATGGGTATATACAGTTTTTGGAAAGGTCACAATTAGAATACAAATCCATAAAAAGACAATCAAGCTAGAGTAGGTCATGAATCGTTGCTCAAGTTATGGAAGGATGTTTAGAGGTGATGGTGAAACAGATGCGTTGATTTGAGTGGATCAGCTTGAGAACGTTGTATCAAGCAATGATCACGAAGAAATCGGCCGCGTTAGCCTATGCATGAATAGATGAATGAATGATATATCGATGAGTCTCTTTAAGGGCTCATTGTNAATCGTGTTTGATCAGAATTGAATCATTCAGCACAGTAAGACTACGAAATGTGCATCAAGCAGTGTTGATTCAAACGGATAATTTATTAAAGCAATGCAAGAGATCATATGTAAGCAAATGCATCAAATAAAGCTGTGTACAAATAATACGTTGCAATGATTGTTTTATATGAAATTATTTCTTAATCGCTGAGCTTTTTGAGCTTTTCCGTCTAGAATTCTTCGAACTACTTCTGGTTCGATCTATATCCAACGGTTTGTTCATCATTTCTTCAAGATCTTCCACTGTTCTTCCTTAAACAAAACATATTACTGCTAACTGCAAATGGCCATTTCGAATACTCGCTCATTACGATTATGACGATCAGTATCAAATAAGATTATAACGAAACACTGTCATTTTACATTCGCACATATCATTTTTCATATACATTATGAATTNTGATGCAAATATTGAGTTGTTTTACATAAAAATCTAGAATTTGGCTGAATTCACGAGATCTTTATACGAATCCATTTGGAGCACATTACTTAGACGGTACTTCAACGGTTCGTTACGTTTTTAATAGGAGATACTTCAAGGTCTTCTGAACAACCAGCTTGTTTTTAGTGGGGATCAGACAACATCAGATGAATGAAAGTTTAACGAATGAAATGCAACGAACTAAGTCTTCAACTTGCGCATCAGTTTCCCAATCGAACTTATCGTTGTACTTTATACCCAAACGTTTTATGAGTCGTAAAAAGCATTTATGAATCATCGAATAATTCGGCCGATTGTAACAGTTCAGAGTCCGTAGATGTGGTAAAATTGGATGCATTTCCACTTCAAGTTCATTCATTAACATTATTAATAACACCAATTTTATCATGAAACATACAAAAATGCTTCAATATTCAATTTCCACTTCTTAAAATCTCAAACGGCCTCACAATCGAATCACAAATTTGCATGCGATCTGCTCATCCATGTGGTATTTGTCATCATATCCGAAAATACGACCGTCGTGAATACACTGTTGATAAGTTGATCAGATAAGACAAAATGATCAAATACCCGGAAAGTTTTTGAGGAGTGCTTCGTCGCTAATGTTCATTTTCGTGAGCTCCAATCGTTTCTTATCTTNAATCACAAATTTGCATGCGATCTGCTCATCCATGTGGTATTTGTCATCATATCCGAAAATACGGCTGTCGTGAATACGCTGTTGATAAGTTGATCAGATAAGGCGAAATGTTCATATACCAGGAAAGTTTTTGAGGAGTGCTTCGTCGCTAATGTTCATTTTCGTGAGCTCCAATCGTTTCTTATCTTTCTCTTTTTGCCACGGTAATCCACAATGTAACTCGATAAGCATGTATATTAACGACCAAATGTCGTCCTTTCGACCCTTCAAAAATTTCGATTTCATTCAATCACTTGAACGATACCTCATTCGTGATCAGCGCGGTTCCGTGTGCATGACTTTGTTCAATCGTTTGTTGCGATCACTCAAATATTCACTAACAATAAGCATGTTGATACTTGTAACTAAAAAAAGTGAATTCAACAGATTCAATGCACAAATAAGCTAATTGTGAACGGAATGTTTCAAATATCTGCCTGCCATCAACATAACTTGGTTCAGGTGAAAACCGTATGAAATGCCATAACAAGAGGTATAACAGTTGCTTGCAAGCAGATTCCAACCTGCTCTTTTTTGTCGTGTACAGTCGGTGAGCAATATCGCATGGTACCTCTGAATTCAGCTGATCCTCGAGCGCGTCGTGCCGCCCAAACACCTTTCTTTCTTTCGAATGCAAAATTTCTCAAAAAACAAATGCTCATTTCGTTTGATTGCATCGAATTTGCAATCACAAACTGTTGGAGGCTATCGCCCCAGCCTTTTGATGAGAACGTTCACAATATTGTAAAGAATGTTTCAGTGTTATACTTAAAATAATAGGAGAACAAATTTCGCAATTCAAATGATGATGACAGTTGGGATGCTAAACATGAATATGCGTTAGTGATATGGAGCACTGAATGGAACGTACCTAGCAAGACCAAAATCAAGAATATGAACACATCTGGCGCGATCCGGATCGTGCTCATCGCCCATAACAAAATTGGCTGGTTTTATATCGCGATGCACAAAGCCAACATCATGTAATAATTTTATACTATAAAGGCATTGAATACCAATACGTGACCATGTTGATATACTCATTCGCTCATCTGGACAGTTCAACTGAAATTCAAATGCACTACTCATTCACTCATCTGGACAGAAATTCAAATGCGCTATTTTCCCGATAACCATCCGAATCATGAGCATTCACATCGATTCATGACAACACCGATATAATTGTTCAGTGCAACTGCTGAATATAATTCGCATATCATTTTCGACTAATTTAATGCCCGAGTCATGAAAAGCAGCAGTGAAATAACTGCATCTCTTATAGTGAAAGTTATCATTGAAATTGAAATACAAAAAGGTTTATTCACGGAGATATTTTGCTTATTTTTGAAAACGAGCGTGTCAAAGATCAAGATCAATTAATAGAAAGTAGATATCAGTCAATCAATCATCACTGAATTACTCCTTTATCCAATTACCAATCATATTCTGTTTTGAGTTACTGCAACGAAATGTTCCTCGCTAACCTTAAGTGTTCTAAGATTTTCGCCAAGCAATGTGACAATCATATAGCAGAATCGGCGATGTTTCGCCGCATGATAAACCCTCATAACGTGCGGCTTATCGCCTCCTTTATTTAAGAATTGCAATATCATAATCTAAATTTCAATACAACTCAACATTTAATATGGTACTTTATCAAAGATGCAATTATTCATAATAGTCCAAAAACTGCCGAAACAATTGGTATGAATTGATCAAAACATTACTGATTTCAGTCATAAACATAAAATTGCAAAGCCAGGAACCAGCAATGGAGTGCTGCTGAAACAATGCACAATTTGGAAAAAGCTCAATAAACTGTTGAATTTGAGACGTCAAAGGTGAATGCTTCTTCGTGAGCGGACTCCCGAATATTTGAATATTCATCGAGAATATGGATCGAGACATTTGCTATGAGGAAGAGTTGTCGCTGAAGAATTGATCACTGAGGTCAGGTTGATCACGAAACGTTTAAACATTCATAACTGACACGATACCTCAAGTTTAATCGCCGAACCACCCTCAATATCGTTTGGTTCAGCTTTAAGTGCTGCATATTCACCTTTCTTATAGATATTCTCAACTCGATAAACTTGACCAAAACCACCTTCGTCCAATTTATTCGTTACTCGCCATTTACCGAACCTCAAGCAAACGCAAGTAATTCGTATTTGTTAACTTCAAATAAATCATTTCAATAGATCAACACTTTCATAACGATACTTTCGACTAAACGAACGATTGATTCAACTAATATTTGATTGGGTGAGGTACTTCATGAAGTTTGAGCAGTGACATCGATTCACTGAGAAGTGCTGAGGCACATTTGCTTCTTAGAATGTAATGTTTCAAGTTAACCAAACCGGTGTGAATGAAAAGAATCAACTGGTTTCCGCATATGCGTGAAACCAACCACATATGTTGCACTAGGTAAATTATGTGCTTATTCAATGTCCCATCAACCACTCACCTTTTACCAATTTTAAAATCGCAACATCTTATCGGATCGCCTTCGAATGTTGCTTCTGTGATCATTTTGACGCCTGCTCAATAAAGGCGTTCTTTTTTTGAATTAAGAAAATTATTTTACATGCCTTTCAGATGGCCAAATTTTCGAAAACATTCTCGAAAGTCACATCGAGAGCGAATCGACTCTCGAAAATCACCGAAACAATTCACTGATTACGTATCTATTGGTTTGATGGGTTATTTCTTTGTCAAAGTACGAAATTCGAGTTGACAAAACCGGAGAAATTGCGAAAGAAAAATGAAAATAGATAACCTTTAATTGCAATTTACAAAAATAAAACACCCCAATTCGGAGAATGAACAACGAACGAGCAACCAATCGTTCGCCGTCGCAACACACTAAACAATATGCGAATCCCATTGTTCCACATCTATTTACAGCTGTTTCTTCACATGTAAATTTAACGTTAATTATCATAAGTGATGCTAGATTATTCAGCACTCCATAGTCTCCATAGGGCATCATCCATAATTACAGACCGCTTCATTTACATATAATTAATTAACTTGACTAC